ACCTTTGAAGCTTATTACAGAAAGCAACGAAAAGAGCAAGCAATGGTTGTTGTTCGGCCTCCAAGCAAGCTAGTAAGCAATTCGTTGTTCATATCCATGCTCTCTTCTATTACCAGTCTTGCTTGTGTGTAGCGTAATTTTGCAATGAGAACTTTTAGTGAAAAAATTTCTGCAGTTTGATACGGCTTGTGATATTTTTAGCAAGAATCTATCTATTCTTATGTGAAGTATTTGGACGAAATTATTGGCTTTTTCGTTGTTGAAGACCATATCATGCAGACGGAGTCCAGTTTAGTGACGGCTGCTTATAAGGATCAGCTTTGGGAGATGGCACTGCATCAAGTGACCACTACAATGAATTCGCATTTTGTGAGTAGAAACTACAACTTTCAAATGCTCGTTCAGAATTTCATGATTACCTTTCAACGATTCATTGTCTCTTACCTACTTTGTGGTATTTTTTATTGCTACAGGGTGGATGCCTGGACGTTGAAATGATGCTGAAGATGAAGAAAGTAATTTTGTTATTTGCTTTGACGATGAAAAGCTACGGGTTTGGAATTGGTTCTCTCTATACGCTTCTCCAAAATTTCAGGTACGTTTCCAAAATTTTGCGGATGCTCGTTTTTAGGCAGTGAAAGTTTGCCGGACTCAGGATCTTAATTTGCTTGAGTTTTTGTGGTCTTCTTTTATTACTGGATATTTCAGAGATCAGTACAATGAAATACTAATGCGTGAATATTGCGCTCAGTTTGAACGGGACCTCGAAAATGATAATTATACACCAATAACGGCAAACGATGAAAAAGAGTTTAAAGCTGTGGTGACGCAGTTCCCTTTCTACAAAAGAGGCATGGATCAGGTAATACATTAGATAATTTTGTAAAGGCACCCTTTTTGGTTTTTTATGCGTTTTGCGTTGTGTGACAGCAGTATAAAACGTATATTGTCACGCCCTTGTCTGTGTGTGTGTGTGTGTGTGTGTGTGTGTCCGTTCGAGTGCATATTGTTCCGCTCTTGCAACTCGGGAACCACGAGAGCTAGAAAGCTGAACTTTTATGTTTCCTGCCCATGTTCGACCCCCAGATTTAAATTCAGCCTTCATGCAACCGCTGGTGC